AAACCAAAAGGGGTATTATTGTTAAAATCCTGTGTCAATGAGCAGATTTGTCACTATGGACGTTACCTTTTTTGAGTCTACATTCTATTTCTCTAGTGGTTCTCCTCAGGGGGAGAGTCTTGGGGAGGAGAACTCACGGCCTGTTCGTCTTCTTGTTTCTTTTGTGCCACTAGTTTTACCATCAACACCTCCATCAGTTCTGTTACCTGATCCACTACAGACAGCCACACAACACTATCAATGTCACTAGAAGAGGGTTGACTCCACGCATGCTCAACCAGTAGAACCCGCACCACTCTCCATCAGTCCTTCTAAGGCTCCAGATTCGGTAGACACATTTCCAGGTATTCCCCTTGAGCCTGAGCCTGTTATCTTTTCTGATGATAATGTTCCTGTACCTAACACTATTGTTGCAGTTGATCCCATTGACCTTGATCTTCCCATTGCACTTCGCAAAGGGAAGAGAAAGTGTACTGTCCATTGCATCTCACACCATCTTTCCTATAAAACCTTATCATCCTCCTACCGAGCTTTTCTTTCTTCCCTAGATTCTGTGTCTATACCCAGGAATGTTATTAAGGCTCTCTCCAAATCTGAGTAGAAAACAACTATGCAAGAAGAGATGGAAGTCTTGGTTAAAAACCAGACTTGGGAGATAGTTGATCTTCCTCCAAACAAGGATACAATCAGATGTATTCATTGTGAAGTACAGGGCTGATGGCAATATAGAGAGGTACAAGGCAATGTTGGTTGCAAAAGGGTATACACAAACCTATGGCATTAATTATCTGGAGACCTTTGCATCGGTTTCTAAGATGAATTCAGTTCAATCCTCTTGTCTCTAGTAGCTACCTATTCATGGCCCCTATTTCAGCTTGATGTTAAAAATGCATTCCTCAATGGTGATTTGCAAGAGGAGGTATATATGGACATCCCAACTAGGTTTTATGAAAATGTTGGTAAAGGAAAGGTTTGTAAGCTGAAAAAAATCATTGTATGGCCTGAAACAGTCACCTAAGGCATGGTTTGATAGGTTCAGAGGGGCACTTTTCCGCTTTGGGTACACACAAACCCAGTCTGATCACACTCTCTTTGTGAAAAGGAGAGATGCACTTGTGTCAATTCTGATTGTGTATGTGGATGATATAGTAGTTATAGGAAATGATTTGAAGGAGATTGATGCTCTCAAGAAATCATTACAGCAAGAGTTTGAGATCAAAGATCTTGGTGAGCTAAAATACTTCCTAGGGATTGAGGTTGCAAGATCCAAGCATGGGATTTTCATCTCTTAAAGTATGTACTAGACCTACTACGGGAGACTGGGAAGTTGGGAACCAAACCAGCTGACACTCCTATTGACCCAAATCATAGAATTAATGTTGTGGATGGTGAGTTGGTTACGGATGTGGGGAGATATCAGAGAATGGTGGGCCAGCTATTATATTTGTGTATGACACGTCCAAATATTTCCTATGTTGTTTGTGTTGTGAGTCAGTACATGCATGCACATCGGGTTCGGCACTGGGAAGCCATTGAAAGAATACTTGCATACCTGAAGAAGCACCCCAACAAAGGTATTCTTTTCTTAGACCATGAAAATTTGAAATTGGAGTCTTATATAGATGCAGATTGGGTAGGTTGTTTAGATGACAAGAGATCTACATCAGGGTTATGTACCATTGTGGGTGGAAACTTGATTTCATGGAAGAGTAAAAAACAGGCGGTTGTGGCTAGGTCAAGTGCAGAGGCTGAATATAGATCCATGGCTCATGGTGTCTCAGAACTACTTTGGGTTAGATCCCTACTGAGTGAGATTGGGGTAAAATCTGAGGAACCTATGATGTTATACTGTGACAATCAGGCTGCAATCAATATTGCCCACCAATGTTTTAAAACACGGAGGCGTGACGCGAGGCGTTCCACTACCTAGAGGCGTGAGGCATAGTTCAAAATGCAAGAGGTGTAAGCCTCCTGAACACAAGGAGGAGTAAGCCTCCTCCTTAAGAGGAGGGGGGTTAGGAGAAGGATGAAGAGGAAGGGGGGATTTCATTTTTTTCTTTATTTTTAATAAAAATCATTTATATTAAGAAGAATAAAGATGCATAACATTAGTTGAAAGGGGGCAAACCACTTTCTTTTCCCTTATCTTTTCTTCCCTTCCCTTCCCTTCCTTTTCCTTTTCTCTTTTTTTCTTCTCTTTCTTTTTCTTTTCCTTCCCTTCCCTTTCTTTTCATTTCCTTTCCTTTCCTTTTTTTTTTTTCTTTTTTTTTTGTTTTTTTATATCAGATGTGCATGAGGCGCATGAGGTGTACGCCTCTAGCACGCCTCATGAAAAAAGCGCAAGAGGCGTACGCCTCAGAGGTGTCAATGCCTCTGGCATACACCTCAGGGTGTTTTGGGAGCGCCTTGCCTGGAGGTGCGTATGCCTCCCACACTTTTTAAAACACTGTTGCCCACAATCCAATTTGGCATGATAGGACAAAACACGTTGAAGTTGATAGGCACTTCATAAGAGAAAGGGCAACAAGCGGAGAAGTTTGTTTGCCTTATGTCTCTTCAGAATTGCAGTTGGCTGATGTCCTCACCAAGGTTCAAAGTATTGATGCGTATTGGTTCGTATCGGCCGATACGTATCGTGTCGGTAGCTTCCCGATACGCCCCTACAGGGGTTGTATCGGGTTAGACCACGGTTCAGGGGTTGTGTCGATACTTTGAACCTTGGTCCTCACTAAAGGGGTTGCAAAGAACAAGATTGAACATGATTTATGCAAGTTGGGAATGTGTGACATTTACTCCCAACTTGAGGGGGAGTGTTGAGGATTTAATCAGTTTTGTGTAGATTTAACAATAATTTTTTATATGTTAATTTTTAGGTAGGAAGTGGGGACCACAGCATTTATGTTAGGTCCTTTGCTGATTGTTTTTGAAGTCTTTTATGTGTTTTTAGATGCTTGCCGCCCTATAAGGGCATATTAGTCATTATACTCCACTTTATTTTTTTAATATAAATACTAGTGAAGGGGGCGGCCAGAATTAAGCTCTCTTTTTCTTTCTCAAATCTCTTCCTCTTCTTCTTCTCTCTCTTCTCTTCTTTTACAGATTTTTTTAATTCAGCAGATTTCTACTATGAATTTGGTGATATGATGGTTGATTGATGATGCAACCTCTCAAAGTCATTTCAGGAATTGCTGGATGGAACTTTTCTGGATATTTTCTAAGCTTCTAAGACCTTTTCTTCTTACCATGAGTTTAATATGCAATAGTGAATTCTCATTGATATTCAAGTATCAGGCATCTCATATCCGTACCGGTGTTCCCAGATACACATGGATACACTGACTGGGTGTATCATATCTGTATCGGTGTACCCAGATATGCGTGGATACATCAATACAAAAAAGTTTTAAAACTTATAAAAGTAAAAAAACATCGACTATTGGTGATATCAAAGAGAAAAAAATTCTCTTAACTTTGGCCAAGTAGAAAAAAATTTCTGCAGTATTTCCTGGCTGAAAAGTTGGAAATCCAAACATTGATGTGAAGAAGTTCCACAAGAAGCCAGCAACCTTACAATGAATAAAAAGATGTGTAACAGTTTCCTCCTGTTCTTTGCAAAGAAAGCACATATTGGCCATCCAAAAGCCTCTGGACTTCAGGCGATCCACTGTCAAAATACTGTCCATAGCCACAAGCCATGCAAAAGCCTCAATCCTTGGAGGGATTGGATTTCCCCAAACACCATCTATCTGAGATTGATCTGAGTCGTCCTTAACAATTGTCATATAAAGGATTTAACAGAGAACTTCCCATTTGAACACTCCTTCCATCACAGTTCATCCCTTGTTTGTGAAGATAACTTTGTGATGCTGCTGACCTTTCGCTATTTGCTGGAACATCTGGAAAGAGAGAAACAGGAGTCTTTGAAGACAAATACTGGAATATGGAAAAGATTGTGGCAGCCATCAGTAACTCGGTTGCAGATTGGGTTCTGGTCTCTCCAGCTTTTAGTCAAGTTTCTAAAGAAGATTTGAGTGACAGATTAGGGGAGATTTTGGAATATCAAATTTGTAACTTGGATGGTTTTTAGTATGTTGCTCTGTTTAGCTTTTGTTCTGGTTGTATGAGGGTGATGCCTTATCGCCTATCAGGATGTATCTTTTTCTTTTTCTTTTTCATCTTCAAAAGAAATATTGATACACATCAATACCCAACTTTGGGTATTTTGATCCTTGTTGATATTGGAGTCAAGATGATGCAGGAACTAAAGTGTCAAAATTGGATTTTTATGAAATTTTATGTATTTCTGTATTTTTGGACAGCAGGGGTATTTTTTTTTCATTTTTGCAATTTTTTTTGTGGGGTCCAATAATAGGGTTTGATTGTCTAGTTATAGTTTGTTTATGTTTAAAATTTCAGAGTCATTGCATAAGTAGGATTAGAGTTATTGAGTGTTCTTTGAATTGAAATAGGATATGATAACTTAGTTTGTGTCCTACTATGATTATTGAGTCTAACAGTTTGACTCCTAAGACTATTATGAGTCTAACAGTTTGACTCCTAGGATTATTATGAGTTTAGAGTCTATAAATATGTATGGACGTTTTACAGAAAGGCAATGAATTATATTGAGTTTTCTTCATCTTATGCTAGCTATGGTGAGTGATTCCCATGCCCTATAGTGATCCTAGGCACCCTGTGAGTGATTTCAGGTATTTTCTCTCTTCTTTCTCTCCCTATTTTCTCTCTTATTCCTTCAAGAAGCCATTACAGCCATCAACAGCCATAAAATTCTGATCCAAGAAGACCATTCAACATTCTCTTAGGACTAGAACTGAGTTGGTCCTACATCACAAGAGTAGTAAGTTTATTACGTCATATGTGTCTACCATTTAAGTGCTGCTAATTTCATTATGCTGAACATTGGTTTTTTATTTATTTTATTTTATTTTATCTATTTATTTTTGCTGTGGATGATTTGATTTCTTTAAAATATTTTGCAGGGGCAAAATTCCTTGGCATTAACAGACTTTGAGTTGTCAAAAGTGGAAGCTGTTGTTAAAATCTTGAAGGATACATCACACTATCATTGCAGTAAATTTGCAGACGATGACATTGGTTTATTGATGAAATTGTTAAAGTCCTGGCCACATGCAATGATATTTCCGGGTGAATATGTCAATTTCCATTTCGGTCATTTAAGATCATATTATATTATATAATGTATCCATTTCCTCCATGCTTATTTATCTGTCTGTCCTAATTGTATAGAGCAAATAGGTGATAAAGTGATAGGACAAATCTACATACTAAATATTTTCTTACAAGACAACTTTTCTTCTACTAACCTTTACATTCATGTATACTTCATAAACACCTAGGACAAATCTACATACTAAATTCTCTTGGTTGAATGGAATTGCTTATCTGTTTGTCTTTTAATGGATAAGCAATTAAGTAGGTGGTTAGCTCCTTAGTTGTTGAATGGTATGCCAGGTTGAGTACTTTAGAGCTAAACATTTCATTATTTGACTATTTTATCCACTAAAGGACAAACCAATAAGCAAATCAATTAAGCCTTTTTAATAGTTATCAAACAATCCCTTAATACACAAGAAGTTTTCTAATCTCATTTACTCTTTAAAATAAGAATTACTGGAAGAAATTTTCACATTTTTATTATAAAAAGTAAATTACTGGAAGGCTGACTATACAGAACCATAAAACCTTCTAACAGATAGAACTCTTAGTAAACATTAGGAAAGGATACATGATAAAGAAACTGAAGAAAAATATATCCTAGAATTGGAAATTTACAAAAATGTCACTGACTACTCATGCTAAAGGGAAATTTAAGTTTTTTTCAAACTGTTTTTCAAATCAGTTGCCTTAAGAAGGCACTCGTTTTGTTTGACATGCCTGGCTGTGTGGTTGGTCTTGTAGGACCCACTGAAGCCCTTTGGGAAAAACTCTAGATTTCTTGTCGTTTCTCTTCCAAACTACTATACCTGTATTATTATGTGGATAAGTTGTTTTTCTTGCATGAGGGAATATGGTACTTAGAAACTAATGCATTTATCTAAAGGAATACATGTGAGAATTTGAGAGAAAAAATGAATTGATTGTATTGTCTTACAAGGAGCATATACACAGCTTTATATAGAATTACAGAGCTAACTTACAGGGTGATAAAATAGGAAACTAACTTTTCCTAGAAAACTAAT